GCTCTGGCCACCTCCCCGCCTGCAGCAAACCGCTGACTTGGGTCAGCACCGGGTCCCCCATCTGCTCCACCTGCAACCTCTCGTGGTTGACAGCCTCCAATCCCTCATCGCTGATGTCCTCCTACACTGCTGCCACCACAATCCACCTCTTACAGTGCTCCTCAATGTGGCAACAGTCGTCTGTCTTCCAGGGGTGATGAGACAAGGCACTGGCATGGCAGTGGAGCCTGCTGGGTTTGTAATGACCCTTGAAGTCATACCCCTGGAGGACCACCAGCCAGCATGCCAGCTGTCCCACAGGATTATGGAAACTCAATAACTTCATAAGGGATGCATAGTCGGTGGAAGCACTGCCCATAGAAGTTGAGACGAAAATAGCAATAGTTCTCATCCTGACACCCCGTCTGTCCAATGCCATGTCAACACCCTTGTGGCTATCATCTATATCCAAAGTGAAGGTGAGTACTGGGTCAGGGTATGCCAGAACTGAGGTTTTGGTGAAGGCATTCGAAAGCAGTGGCACAATCCTCAGACCATTCTGATAATATCTAAGGAGGTAAACCATGTTGACCCTGAGTTATGGTCCATTGCATTGTCAATTTGGAGCAGCAGGTTTTAATCCCTCTGGGTCTCAGTGTTCAGGCACCAGTAGTGCACAAGGGTGTAGTGCCAAGATCCCATCCTTCCTCCTCACCATGATTGCCAGTGGAGCCCATTGACTGCCAGAAGGCTTGATTACTCCTGCTGCCACCATCTCCTGGGTCTTTTGCTCCACTACCTGATGTTTCGTAAGAACTAACAAGTGAGGTTGCAGCTGGATGGGCGGAGCATCTCTGTTATCAATCTGATTCTAGATGAATGCGGTTGGACTGCACTCATCTCTTGGGCAAAGAAGATGTCAATGTGCCTGTCCAGTAGCACCCTTAACTGGTGCTGCTGCCCTGCTATAATGCCCATGCTGAATGGCTGCGACTGGGTAGTACCTAGCGATATGCCCGACATCTCCACAGTGGTTGAAGGGCACGATGAATGGTGGGTGACACCGCTGCCATGACTCCATGTGGGAGGATCACTTGCACTGGCTGCTCTTCAACCCTGTTGGGACTAATTTTGGAAGTCTACAGTGATCGTATCCAGAGTCTTGTTCTTCTGTCTCTGCCGATTTACCAGCTCTCCCCTCATGGCCTCTTTGGACAGCTACGAATATGCAGTGTTCTAATGTTGTGACCAGGGCTGCATAGTCTCACTGTTTGTCCAGTGGCAGGATGAGGAGGACCTTGAGTATCCCCCTTCCATATGCTAGATGTATCACTGTTTCAGTGGAGGGCTAGTCACTGTGCCACGCTTTGAGGTGCACCTGGGTGAGGTTAGGCTGCAGGGCCCCCATCCCACTGTAGCAAGGAAGCTTTATGGTGGTCTCCGTCCCGCTTCCGCTATCTTTCCGTGGAGCTGGGGCTTTTTCTTCTGCCTGGTGTGGGCAGTGCTGTAGGCAAGGTGTGCTATATCCATCAGGTCGCCCTGGAAAGGCATAGTGCTCAGTTCCTGGGGCCCCTTTGAGCTGCTGCTGCTCCTTCATTTCCACAGCATCTTGCAGTCTTGATCCTCTACAGCTTTTAGATTAATTTGTCAATTTAATCGATGACTTGCAATCCCACTTCTGACACCAATGTGATGAGCTAGTGGGTTATGGTTGATGATGGAGATGACAGGTCTTTTAATATGGAAGTTTTGCTTTTATTAACTTGCTCGTAGTCCGTAGCCTCCTCCAGGATGGGCTCCAAAGAAACGGGTATAGAAAATGGATGGATGGATACACACACACACGCACAGACACACACTTATATATATGCACGCACACACATAAATTCATATACTGTATTCATATATATGTGTGTGTGTGTGCGTGTATGATTATGTGTGTATGATTACTACTAATCATGTAACAATACCAAAGGGTATCCTCTGTTCACTGTGTGCATTTGCTATACAATCAGAAGCCACAATCACAAACACTATAATGACATCCTTGTTTGTTTTGATTTGCCTCCCAGAATGACCTTGTTATACTAGGAAGCATGGGCGTAGCTACTTTTTGCCTAGGCCCACCAATCAAATTGGCTGTTTTTTTGTCACAAATTTGCTATTATTAGGTGCTTTCCCACGGCAGGAACCATTTTCCAGAACCAGGAACTTCTGTCGTGTTCCCACTACAGGAACTCAGTCTGACTGTAGTTCCTCAGAGGCCATTCCTGTCACGTCCCTCCGTCCAGCCCTCTTGTGGACCGCGTCCACCTCGTTAACCCCATGTCAATTCCCATCGTATCAGCTGTCTTACGTTTATTCTGAGGTCATGTCCAGTATTTAGTCTGCGTTCAAGTCTGTTTCCCCAGGTCTGTCATTAATGTTTGTACTGTGTGGTTACCTGTCCGCCCTGAATTAACCACGTCCTTTGGATTTCCGTCTCACCGATCTTGCTTTCCCGTACCCTGCTTGCTCACCCATCGCACGATAGTGACAATTCCAGACCCATTTTTCAATACCTACTCCAGACTCGAACACAAGCTACGGGGGAGGCGCTTACAGCCAAGGCTTGCTGATTCGGCAACTGCAAGCACCAGCGTAACTCGGAAGTGTCGGGGGAAAAAAGATAGAAGTAATGGAGAAAAAATTGAGCAAATAGAATTATTTTTGTATGTCAGTTACATTTAATACATTATTGAATACCTTTTTGTTTGTGTTTCTACATTTCTGTGTCGGAAAATTTGATCGATAAGTGATATATAGGCCTACATTTGTCTAATGGTGAAACTTGCCAGCTCTTTATTAGTGGGATAACGTTACATCGTTTTTTTGTTCTGTGGAAAATGAAGGATCAATCTGCTAGATAGATTTAATGATGAATTATAAAGATGTCACTTGTCCTAAAAACGAAATACAAATAAAAGGCTGTATCCAGTTTTGATAACTATCAATTCCCGCAATAAGATCTTACATTGTTTTGGTGTGGCGGTGTAGTTTCGTATGAAATTACACGTATGAAGTTTCACCTACGAGCTTTTTGTCTTACCCATGCTTATTTAGCATAAAATAAGGAAAACAACACACAAAAGTGGCCAGGAACTCCAGAAGTTTGAGATGACCCAGGAACTTGGAACCAGGACATAAGTTCCTGAACTTCAGTGTGAAATATATTGTTAGCTAATATTTTTAAATTATGGATTAACTCCAGGAAGACATCAAAGGTAGGCCTAAAATTTTCTTCTTTGCAGTAGTCTGCAAAACTTTCAGAGCACAGCGATGGCTGTGGTAGTCAATAAAAAGCAGTTTACCACTGAAGCGCAATAAAATCATTGAAGATTAGAAATATCTTTTTGTGTTAGAGTGAGATTTCAGAACTTTACATTGTGGATGGACTATGGCTGGGCATTGCAAATTTATTATATAACACGGCTTGGCTTTGTTGCTTAATATTTTAAGCGGTCTGTGTGTGTGAAGCTGTTTTCTTTGTCCCTACATCTGTTGTGAGGCGCGTATTCAGACTCTGTTTATGGTGTCTTGTTGTAGCAACTGAACAGAGCGGATTGCTTTGATTTTTATTTCTGTTGAGGGATGCGAGTACGATGCTGACAAAACAGGCCGACACATAGCAGAACACGTTTGCGATGAGCTGTAAATGCTGTTGTGCTATATTGGATTGTGTGGGCCACCCTCTTTCATTCTGGCCCACCTGCGATTTCTGGCCATGCCACTGCTAGGAAGCAGTTGGGGAGTTACATAAATGCAATCGCCCTTCGTCATTCGGCTACTCGAAGAAGCAAAGTTAATGTGTGACCACATGACCGCTCTCACTCAATATTGACAGAGTGCTAAAAAAAAAATCCCAGATGAAAACATTCAGCACCAAGGCCAGCAGCCAAGTCAGCGCCCGTTAGTGTGGCATTGGATCTTTGACATACATCTTTAACCTTTCATACTTCTGCGTCTAGGTGTTACGTCCTTGGTGTAAGCATATATACTATACATTTTTATGTAATATTTAGTAAAAGTTCCACAGTAAATGGGAACCTCTAGGTTTAAAACCTAAAAGGTGAAATTGTCATGAAGGCTATTAACTGCACGCAGTTGTCCTTTCTGTTGCTGATTCGGCTCTGCGAGGCAGCTGGCAATGGTTGCACAATTCACAATACTATGAATTAACTGCCTTCTGGAAGCCTGCAGATAAGACAAGTAGCCAGCAGATTTCTCATGTCTGTATTAGCAGCTAAAAATGGCTTTGTATTTACTTATCTACCTATTAAGGAAGGCTGTAGCTTCTAATTTGCACTTTCAAAATGTGATGTTTTGGTGCTCTGTAGGCCTGCTTTCTTTTCTTGTATTATTAAATTAATGTACCAACGAAGGAGTTAAAGAATTTTAGATATAAATCTTTTGGTTCTTACCTGGAACTTTACTGCTGGGTTTGAGTAACGTGCCATTAATTAATGAAACGTCGAAAGCTTGACATTTACATTTTATCGATGAAAAATTAGCGAAAAACCGTACAAATTAACCGCATAAAGACCTGCTTCCATCGTTAGGGTTCACGATAATTTAATGATATGCACATATGTACATGTGTTTGTATGTATATGCCTATCTCACTCCAAAAATACCTCAAAGCTTATTATGACATAATATAACATAAACATATTATAATTAGTATAATATTATAATAATAAACTACATAAAACATAAATTCGTCTACTAAAGTATATTTAGTATGCTTTTTAAACTATATTTCATTTTTAACACCGCATATATTAACAGCTATGTGTCGCTTTATTTATTTTAAACATTTGTATATGAAAGTGGCATTTTTTAGACTCGATTCGTCTCCATTTATCTTCTCAAGCTGAATTCCCAGCCTGTCTCAGTTTTACAGTTTAACACGTCGCTGATGCAGCAAATTGCGCCACCTGTTTCCACCCAACTCCTCTCCAGTCCCATTCCAGTCCGCCTTATGCTGCGATGAAGAAGCAGAACGTCCGCACCGTCTCTCTGATCCTCTGCATGTTCTCCTACCTTCTGGTGGGCGCCGCTGTCTTTGATGCGCTGGAATCCGATTCCGAGAGCTCCATGAAAAAAATCCTGGAACAGAAGCGCAACGAGATGAGGAAGAAATATCGCTTTTCTGAAGTCGACTATAAAGAGATAGAGCGGGTAGTCCTGCAAGCGGAACCACATCGGGCCGGCAGGCAGTGGAAATTCGCGGGATCGTTTTATTTTGCTATAACCGTCATTACCACAATAGGTAAGTTTCGCTTTTTACTTTTTGTTCTTCTGAAGGGACTTCTCGTTAGATGTTTGAGTATTATGAATTAAAACGGTATAATTTATTGCATTATTTTTTTTTATTAATAAAGCCATGCTATTCGAATAATAAAATTAATTAAAAGCAGTCCTATAGAAATTTCAAATACCAATACAATTTAATACTTGATCAATACATGAAAAATGTATCCTGCATACATGTGCCTAAAAATGAAGAAGTGATGTGTAGATCAGCAGGTTAGGATTGTGTCACCCTTTCCAGAAGGTTGTTGGTTTAAATCCTGTGGCTGGCTGTGCATTCATATCACCATCAAGCCCTTGAGGAAAGCCCTAATCCCCAATTGCTCCATAGATGCACGCTGATCCTACTCTCTGATCTTCATTTGTATGTCACACTGGACAAAAGTGATAAATAAATAGATGTTCATCAGTCACCCGAACATTGCTTGTTGTGTGCCTCTGCAGGTTATGGACATTCGGCTCCTGGTACGGATGCAGGAAAATTGTTCTGTATGTTCTATGCAGTTCTAGGCATCCCTTTGACACTTGTGATGTTCCAAAGTCTTGGTGAGAGAATGAACACCTTCGTACGTTTCCTGCTAAAGAAAGTTAAGGAGTGCCTGCACATGAGAAAGACTGAGGTCTCCATGGAAAACATGGTCTTGGTGGGCTTCTTGTCCTGCATTGGAACCTTGTGCATTGGAGCTGCCGCCTTTTCCCACTTTGAAGGATGGACGTTCTTCCATGCATATTACTTCTGCTTCATCACACTCACCACCATTGGTTTTGGAGACTTAGTGGCCCTTCAGAAGAAGGAGGACCTCCAAGAGAAGCCTCCATATGTGGCCTTCAGCTTCATGTACATTCTGCTTGGGCTGACAGTCATCGGGGCTTTCCTGAACCTTGTGGTCTTGCGCTTCCTCACCCTGAACACGGAGGATGAGAGGCGCGATGCAGAGGAGCGGGCATCCTTGAGGAGACAGAGGGATATGATCACTCTGACCATGGGGGAGGATGGTCATAGCAGGAGTTCCCTCTTTCTGCCAATGGAGGAAGGCACCAGCCACACCAACTTGATCCCATCAATGGCCGAGGAGCAGGAGGTCTCCCCAGGGCCACACCCCTCTAAGCCTGAATCCCGCATGAGGTCACTCTGCTCCTGCATGTGCTACCACCTGGGTGCCTGTGACAGCCCCCCTCCTGTGCACCACAAGCATATGGGCTGCCATACCAACTCTGTCTACTACAACTCCATCTCCTACAGTATTGAGGGAAGCCTTTGCAGCACCAAAGACAGCACTGCTCTGTCTTCCGCAGTAAGAACCATGAATCCTGAACTCCTACATTTCAGGGACTTTCCTTTTGCACGAAGGAAGTCGATTTAATTTGTTCACATGCACGTACACGTACAAATCGGATACTGTATTTTTCTACGTAACAGCAATGTTTGCTCAGAGAACATTATGTACAAAATGATGTAGCACTATTTACACAGGTTTCCAATGATTGACAACAGTACAGTTATCGGCAACAACCAATGCTATTTTACTGCTCAAAGGCATTGTCAAAGTTCTTGTAAATGTCAATGAAATTATATTATTATCATTATTATTAATAATAGCTAACTTGGTTGCTCCTTTGATCACGTGGTGAACTACTGCTTGTTTCTTGGCACAGCCACATGAGAGATTAAGCTAATTTTATATTATTATAATACCTTGAAATTATCCTGAAGCTAAGAATTGAAACTCTTGAGTGTGGTCATGTAAACTGCGCAATATTCCACAATCTTGGCAGAGTTTTTGCTTCAATCAAAGCTCAATTGATGGATGATATACAAATTATTATTTTTGAATGGTCCTTTTGTACCATTTTACTACAGTGATTAATTTAGCCTCAGACACTGACATGTGGCAGACAGCTTTTGGTGCAGGGGTGCTGCTAGAGATTTCGGGCCCCATGAAAACATATCATTTTGGTCCCCCAACCAACATTAATACAATTTTGTTCCCAATTTTTTTAGGGCTCCTGTCACTCAGGAGCCCTGGAATCATCCTTTGCAATGCCTCTGTCTGAGTGTGAAAACGTTGTTTATTTGGCAGTAAACTAAAAAAGTGCCCCATTCACTATAATCATGTTTTTACCTCGTGCATTTTATATCCAAGAGAAACTACCAAGTGTTAACAGGCACTGCTGGTAGAGGAATAATAGATATTGGCAATAAAATTTCAAAGCTTGCATATTTAAATGTTATGTCAGAAACAAGGCCTGTAAGGCAGGTGAAACCACAGTTCTATGCCCACAATGTGGACTTTCAAGGATATATCCACTAAGTGTCTGTAGATACATAGCAATAAAATAATTCATTATCAGTCTGAGTTGCCCAGCCCTGGTCCTTGCGGGCTTGGAGCTTTTACAAAATGCAGTTTATTGCTCACTTTACTAGCAGCCATGACAAAGGTCATGAGTCTTTCCATACAGATAATTACTTAAATCAGGCAACACAGGCTGTAAAAGCCACACTATCCAGCAGACATCAAACACTGCGATGTGCAGTACTGGTATGAATTATAAGTATCAGGTCTAAAAATATAAGTATTAGTCTGAAAAGTAAAACAGATTATATGTAAAAAAAAAATTGAAGGTAAATTTTAAAATGTTAACAGCTGCATCTAGTTGCATGGTAAGGAATACAGTATCACTGGCAGCTTCAACTTCTGTCTGTACTTCAATTAAACAAGATCTTGTGTCACTAACTCTGCAACCTATTAAACCATAGTTCATTCAAAATATAAAGAACAACTTTTTACATTTTACATTTATGTTTTTTGGTGCATGCTAGGAATGAGATCATATTTTTAATTCATGCTTTTATAATGTACCTTAAAAAACAGACTGTATTTCAGCAACTGTATAATTTAAAAGTTCTTTCTACACATTCCAGATGTCTTAATTCATGAAACCTTTTTTTTTGCCATTATTTAGATTCATTCCGTTTCTTTAAAAATAACTGTAATAACAATTAGTTTTTTTTTTAAATCTTTGTTATGCACAGAGTCATGTTCAGCTCAGTTAATTGATTAAAAGCTTGAGAGTTGTTACAAGAATTCTCATTCTTCATTTAAAAGTTTCAGTTAGGCATAGAGAACATTCTGGACCAATAAAACTGCATTCATGTTTACATTTGCAGCGAGAACCTTGAAGGTCACTGTTTCCTTATATATATAAGTTATAATATGCAGTAAGCAGCACAAAAGAAATAAAATGAGGCAGAATGTTGTGAGGTTCTGAAACTTTGTCATAGATCTGAAATATGAATCCTGTGCTTTTTGAACAGGATAACATTACTGACGCTACAACCACAATGAAAACAGCACATATGTGGTTTGGCATGTATACATTTTTGTTGGATATTTATGTAGTGAATGATTTGTCCTTATCTTTCAACGTGAACCATTTTTATGGTATATGTAAGTTGGTTGTGACTGTGCAGCACAAAAATCCAAAACTAGGAAATGATACTTTGTAATGTAGCATTTTCATTTTGTAGCCCTCAGCTTTTGCTGTTGTTTTTTTGAGTAAACTGAAATGTGTGGGCCCTAAATCATTATAGCTCATTTTAGTTTGTTTTAAAAGTTGATGCACATTTTCAGAAGGCAGAGCGCAGGGGGGTATTTTCTGTACGTCGCTTAAATCATCCGAGATCAGATGCCACATATTGGATGAGTTAATGCCGGTGAAACTCATCTGGGATAAGTGGGTATTTCAAAGGCAGCTGTGTAGTAGATGATTGCGCTGCTTGAAAAGCCCATATATATCGAGTTTAGAAACCTTGATCGGCAAGTCTCTCATTGGCTTCCAGAAAATGTCAAAAAACAGGCCGCAATTTTTCACGCAATCCCAGCAGGACCTTTTATTAGAGGGGTATGATGAGTTCAAAGATTTAATGTGTACTAAAGGAAACACATCAAAAGCGGCCCAAACCAGAAAAGATGGATGGCAAAAAGTGTCCAACAAATTAGTTTTTAGTTATTGTATTTGTCACTTGAATGTAGTATTACGTTTCCAATTTTTCTTTATTATTGTGTCATAATTACAGATCAAATACAAGCACAATCATGCAGGACATGGGAACAAGTTAAAGTGAAGTACAAAAATATACTTCAAACTGGTAAACACAACATTTCATTCATATATATGTGTGTGTGTGTTTGTTAATTTTATGTATATGAAATGTAGGAAATCTTTAACATTTATAAAACATTCCTTTTGAAGCTAAGGCAGACAAAACCTTTGGAAATTCTGGGTAGTGAGAATATTAGTGTGATTTTTAAATTCTTTATAGAACTGTAATTTTATTGCATATACTGTACATTACCTTCAATGGCATAAAACGCCTCTTTAATTGCCTGGACTCACACTGGTCTGGGAAAAACACTGAAAACCCGAAGGAAATATTTCAGGCCCAAACAGACTGCCTGGCAAACTGTACCCTTTGATATATTTTCCTCATCGCCTACAGTATACAAAAAAATGCTGCTTGTAAATATCTGAAGGCGACGCACATTGTCTGTGTGGCTGTGAGAGCTCGACTTCGCCTGGTTGGACCTCTACTATATGGAGGTAATAAATCTTTAAGATATAATATTCCATCTCGGCTGAAGCGGTATCTTTCAAAAAGAATATCATCCGGCAACAATAAAGGATCTTGCCAATCCTCTCAATTTGAAATTCCCTTCTTATTATTTGCGCACTGATTTCAATTGGTCGCTCATCCATGAATGGCGAGGCCTTGATTTCCATGCACAGACACTGATGAAGTGTATGAGCTAACCCTTGTTTACACAGAACAAACCTGCTCCGAACAGGTTTGAGGATTTGGATGTGCTGCTATGACAACACATCCAGCAAGAGTTTCGAAAAACTGACAGATCCAGGATCATGCCAAATTGTCAACAATTACATCCGGCTAAACGAGTAATCCATGTACGAAAAACACCACCCAGGTGTGCTGATGCTGATTATTCAGTGCAAGACTATAGTGATTTTTAATCACTTTTTTTTTGCACTTTTTTTTGGACTATATTTTTTCCTTTTATTTAAGCCTTTCTCAGATTAATTTCAGAAAGCTCTGCACAATTTTCCTTACAGTGGGTGACGAGGCTCAAATTTAGCATCTTGTCCATCTTTTATTTTAAAACCCATTTTTCTGCATTTTTGTCGTGGACTCAATCATAGTGGACAGTGCAACCATTTTAAGTTCATTCACTATCATATCACTCAAATAGTAAAGTACATGCTTGTAAACATACCAATCCATTATTTAAACAATAGAATAAGACTTCTGCCATGTATTTAGGGTTATTTATAAAATGAAAGATATTATTAAATGATTTGATCTGTTTAGTCTTGCATTTCTTTAAACATTGCTCTTGATTTGGGACACTTTGCATTGCGGTTAAACATTTTTACCTGATATGTAGGGCTGGGTGATATGGCAAAAAATGTCACCATGATAAAGTTTTTCATATCAGTCAAGATCAATAATTCTCACGATAAATATCAAATAATTTTTTCTGAAATTTCTGAAACCAGGCGGTTAATTGTGGTTTTAAGCTATTCTTTATCGTTAGAACGTGACAAACACTTGCCAAACAGCATTTCATATTTCACAGATCAGAGGTAGAAGAAAACAGGTTATTTTAGTCAGTCCCAACAAACATCACCACTTGCATTCTTCCTAGCATTTTTGAATTCTCTGTGGATTATTACTGGGTGGATGTCTTGTGGACTAAATTTCTTTGTGGACTTTTGGATTTTGCGGGATTACCCTTTTTGGATGGGTTGCTTTGGACTTACCTGCTCTCCTTGCGAGTTATTCTGTTGTTCTGACTGTTGTCTTTCGTCTGTCTACCTGGCCTATTGCATTCTCTTATTTGTTCAGTAAATCTCCCGGTTTGTGTCTTTACGCTTGTGTCTGCACTTGTGCTCTATTGTCGATTCTGACAAGCAGTCACGGAGAAAGTGACATCATTCCATTGTGATGCAAAATGTGTCGGCTCTTAGATTACATCGAACTTGCATGGAGCTTTTGTTGCATTGACATCAAGGAAAATTATATCACAATTATTATCATTAGTTTTATCACCCAGCCCTACTGATAAGTATCTTTCTCCGCATGGACTTGAACTGCAAACTTTCAGTCCTTTCCCACATCCAGAACCATCCATGTTCCAACCACTGATGCAGTACAGTGTTACGGAAAACCTGAATCTTATGCTAGGTAGCCTGTTGTCATGGGATACCATGGGGATGCACTCACACTCACATATTTAGAGATGCCAGACAGTCTAACTTGACATTTTTGGATTGCAGGGGAATCCTGCAGCTGGGCTGCCAGCTCTCATGCATCAGGCGTGACACTCACGCTTTCAGACATTCACGATCATGCAAGAAGTCTTACTGCAAGTTTACATCGCATTATAATATTATTCATTATAAACCTAAAATAAGCTAAATTAAAAGCATCGGGGTAGTTTGCAACCACTACAGACTATTTAGAAGGCAATAAAACTGTTACATACATGTATATTGAAAATCTCACGCCAGCCTGCTGACCCAAGTCGTCAACCCTGTTGTACAGCATGGGGAACGTGCGAACTCCACACACAGAGCATAAAATTCCAACCACTTATCATGGACAGGTCACAGAGGGGCCTGCAGATTGTCCCAGGCAGCACAAAGCAGCAGGCAGATGTACAGCGTAAACACGATGTGAATCTACCGCAGGGGACACACATACTACACACAATTTCTTGGTCCCAGTTAGTCTGAAAGCTTGTCTTTGGACTGCAGGTGGAAACCTGGAAAATCCAAAGGAAACCCATGATGAATGGAGAGAACATGCAAGTTGCATGGACACAGCAACAGCACAGGAATACAGTCAGCAGCCACAGACTGCTGCATTCATT